ATAGAATAGAATAGAATAGAATAGAATAGAATAGAATAGAATAGAATTCTTTATTGGCCAAGTGTGGTTAGACACACAAGGAATTTGTCTTGGTGCAAATGTTCTCAGTGAACATAAAAAAAAAAGATACATTCATCAAGAGTCAAGAATCATAAGGTACAACACTTAATAATAGTCATAGGGTACAATAAGCAATCAAATCATACTAGGAAATGGTCAATATGAATCGTAAGGATACAAGTGACAATGTTACAGTCATACAGTCACAAGTGGGAGGGGATGGGTGATAAGGAGTGATGAGAAGATCAATAGTAATAGTAGTGCAGACTTTGTAATAGTTGGACAGTGGGAATTATTTGTTTTGCAGAGTAATGGCGTTTGGGAAAAAAACTATTGTTGTGTCTAGTTGTTCTGGTGTGCAGTGCTCTATAGCGTCGTTTTGAGGGAAGGAGATGAAACAGTTTATGTCCAGGATGTGAAGGGTCTGTAAATATTTTCACAGCCCTCTTTTTGATTCGTATAGTATACAGGTCCTCGATTGAAGGCAGGTTGGTAGTAATTATTTTTTTCTGCAGTAACTTACAATCGTTTTTCACACTTATGGCCATTACAGCATCCCCATGGTCACGTGATCAAAATTCGGACACTTGGCCATCTGACTCATTTTCATGATGGTTGCAGTGTCCTGGGGGGCGTGTGATCCACTTTTGCGATCTTCTGACACGCAAAGTCAGTGGGGAATCGGACTTCCGGTTTGAGCTTCTTCGGCAACAGACCGAAACCTCGTCTATCCGAGGCTTGAATCCATGCTCACCGCTGGAGCACCCCGAGCCGGCTGGTTTTGGGGCTAAGCCACCCCGTAGAGGTGGTGAAGAGGGGGTAGACTGCCTGCAGGGTTGAGGAGAGCCACATCTCTCCTCCCCAGCTGGCCATTACTCCTTCTCCTGAAGGTGGTTGTAGCGGTGGTCAGAAATGGCCACCACAAAGAAGAACTCGACTGGAAAAGAATGTGCAGGAGGAAGATAAGAAGAGAAAGTTTTGGTTGACCGGGTCAAACAGCAAAAGCAACAAATAAGGTACCCTGCAATTTAAACTTAACAACATTGTTCCCAAAGAAGATTTTGAAGCTGCGAAGGAGAGAGAGAAAGGAAAGGATTAGGTTTTTTTTTCTTCCCTTCCTTATACTGATAGCTAAGAGACTTAAGCAAGAAATTGAAAAAAAATCCACTTTGACATTAATAGGCATCTAAGCTGAAAATAAAAGTCAAAGGGATAATAAAGATTTCTGGACATTTAAAAGTTTTTAAAAGCAGGAAAGGAGGAAAAAAAAGAATAAAAGGGCAGGATCTGGAAAAATGGAGGAGACTGCCTGGAATTAAGGAATGGAACTGTAATTAAAAGGAACTTACAGTGAAATTTTAACAAGATTCCTCAAAGATACATTTTAATTGAAACTTGGTAACAAAATAATAGAACCCCAGGAAGAGAAAGTGGAAAAAAGAAGCAAGTAGAAACAGCCTTGGATTATTTGGATTATTTGGTGATTTTTGGTTTTTGCATCTAGATGACTAAAATTAACTGGGTGGTTGTTTAAAAGTTTTTAAATGGTATCACTCTTAGAAGAACTGAAAACGGAACTTAAAAAATGGAAAGAAGATGCACAAGAAGGGAGAAGTTATTTTGGCTTCGTGTTTCAATTCTTAGAAATGGAGATCTGGAACTATGAGAAGCAACAAGAAACGCTTGCAGAACAAGAAGATTGGGACAAAGAAGAAGCCATCTTTAATGATCAAATAATTTTAAGTGGGGGGAAAAAAGAAAAAGGGGGGGGGAAGAGAGTGAAAGGTTTAAGACTAGAAAAAACAACCAAAAAGAAGAACAATTTGAAAGATAAGTATAATATTAGAAAGCAACAGAAGAGGGGATTACAGATGAGAGAGTTAGAAGTAGAGAGACGAGGGGGTAAAAAGGGGAGGGAGAAGAAGAGGGGGAAGAAGGCAAGGAAAAGAAGTTGTAAAAAACGGAAACAAGAAATGGAGAAACAGAGAAAAGATATAAGGATTGTAACCATAAGCTTGTTTAGAGATAATGGGTGAAAATTTAATTGCAGAAGGGATTCTGCAAAGATACATAAAATAGCATTGTTATATTACAAATAGAAATAATTTAGAAAATATGATGATGGATAAAATATTTACTGTAATGTAGTGGGATGTTTGTTAATAAATAAATGAATTAAAATGATTGAGAGAATTAAAAGGGAACATTTTTAATTATTAGTAATGATTTATAAAAATATAAGTGAGAAATATGGGGAAAAAAGAATTAACTATGGAAAGTTTATAAGTGTTCCCAAGGAAGTATGATATTTAATTGAAAAGAAATGTTAAAGATGTTAAGATTTTAATGCATATTAATGATAGAATTGAATTGGAATGGAATGTGTGTTTTATTTACATATATATATAATTTTTTCTTTTTAAGAATATAGTCTCTATTTTAAGAATGTACCAAGCAGAACTCGATTTGAAGTTATGTGTTATATTGAATGCTATAATCTTAAAGGTATATATTGAAGCTTAAATAAGAGTTTGAATGGATAAAATTAAAGGATATAAAGATGTCATACTCTAATTGGTAACTACAGGGAAAAAATTGCTTAATAAGAAAAGATAATGTGAAATTGAAACAGGACAGACAAAAGTATAAATATAATGATTTGAATTGAGATGAGATAATTAAAACAAAGTTGAGAAAATTAAAAGGGGAAAAACTATGTAGAAAATATAAAATGGTAATAAGATATGGAATAGAATATAAAAATGAGCATGAAATTGAGTTTGGTGTCTGTATGAAGAAGTGATAACCTGGGACCATGCTATTTTCAAAAAAGATGTTTTATTTGTATTTTGTTTTTGTGAAAACCCAAATAAAATTTTCAACAAAAAAAAAAAGTCAGTGGGGAATCCAGATTCACTTAACAACCATGTAACTAACTTATCAGCTGCAGTGATTCGCTTAACAGCCGGGGCAAGAAAAGTCATGAAACGTGGCAAAATTCAGTTAACAAATGTTTCACTTAGCAATAGAAATGTTGAACTTAATTATGGTTATAAGTCAAGGACTATCTGTATTCTGTTTGCTCCTATCTGTTAATGGGAGAACTAAGGAAGTTTTTTGTTGAGGACAAAAAACATGGACTTATAGCAACTGCATGTAACTTTCTGGGTTACCCACCCTCCCCCATAATTGTCTGTTGTAGTGACATCAATGAGCACTATGAAGATACAGTCCTTTCCAGTGATTTGAATTTGTGGAACTAAAATCACCAGTATCCATCCTTTACCTACCAAGATTGAACAAGGAGGCCTCAAACTTTCAACTGTTCCATGTAATCTTCCCATCATGAGGTCCTTGGTGCTCTCTGAGCTTGGCTGTTTTCCTGTACATGTTTCATTACCCAACTACATTAAAAAAAAAAAACAAAAACATCAGTGCTAGCACAGTAGCACTGATGATGTTATCTAAGTTGGGTAATGAAACATCTGCAAGCAAACAACCAAACTCAGAGAACACCAAGGACCCTGAAATTCAATTCTGAGCTACAATTATTCTCTTCCACCCAGGCACTAAGGCCCACTTGCCACTGTGTGCTCTGAAAAAGCAAGTGAGTGGATTGCATGGGGAAGTTGAACATCGACAGCACCTTTGGGCATGAATTGTACCAAGATTTCTGAGCCACATTGTGAAAGCCTTTCATCAGGCTGGCTGTGGGATTCTGGGCATTGAAGCCTACAAGTCTTCAACCTTTGGAAGAGGGAGAATTTGCAACTAAAGCAAAGGACTTAGAACAAAAATAAATTGCATGGCTGCATTGCCCTCTACAGCTCAGTTGCTTTGGGTTCCCTCCCACCATCCTTTCCTTCCCCTTTTCCGCAAAGGATGTTTTTCATTCTGCCCTCCATCAGCCTCTGCTCTTGTTCCTGCTCACCGTTAACCATGGCATTGGCGTTGTCAAACAATTTTGCGGTGACAGTGCGTCTCTGGCAATGTTAGACCACTGTCAACAAGCCCTGAGTAACCAGGGTTGACAACATATTACAGTTCTGCCATAAGTAATTATTGTCTTGCTCAAACAACAATGGCAGCTAAATTATAGGAGAGTATGTGATAGCGTATGGATTAAATTGCCAAAGCTAAACAAAACAGGAGACTAAGATGGCAGAGATTTCTGAAAGAGGGGGTGGAAGTGTTTTTCTTTTCTGAGTTATTCTCTGGACACATCCTACTGGTTTGGTCTGAATTTAGAAATACCCTATCAAGAAAAGTGTATGTGATGCATTTCCCTTGGTAGGCATCATATATCTAAACAAGCATTTGATTTACAAAGCTGAGTTATTTTCTTTCTAGCTCTTGTATATCTTACGCTGCATTTTGGCTGTCAGGGCAAATCCTATCTATGTTTTAGAGCAGGGGTATTCAACCTTGACAATTTGAAGACCCCTGGACTTCGATGCCCAGAATCGCCAAACCTACTTATGCTGTGCTGTGCTGTGCTGTGCTGTGATGTGCTGTGCTGTGCTGTGCTGGCTGGGGAATTCTGGGAGTTAAAGTCCACAGGTCTTCAAGTTGCCAAGGTTGGGCACACCTGCTTTAGGGAGTTCCTATTGAGAGCCTTTGAAAAAGCTATAACCTATAGGAATAAGCAAATAAGTAAACCATGGTGACGCAGTGGTTAGAGTTCAGTACTGCAGGCTACTTCTGCTGCCTGCCAGCTGCCTGCAATTTGGCAGTTCAAATCTCACCAGGCTCAAGGTTGACTCAGCCTTCCATCCTTCCAAAGTGGGTAAAATGATAACCGAGATTGTTGGGGCAATAACCTGACTCTTTAAACCGCTTAGAGAGGGCTGTAAAGCACTGTGAAGCGGTATATAAATCTAAGTGCCTTTGATATGTGCTATTGCTATAAGCCCAGGAGACTAGGCTGCTGGAGTTTGAACCTGTCTTCCCTCACTGGGGAAATGGAAATTTTACACCAGTTCTAGGGCTGTGTTGAGAGAACCTACCGCGAGGTTTATGTTCGGAGTATGCCTCAGATTTGAGAACAGGTAAATTACTTTGAATCCTACCTCTTTGAGATCCGACTTCTGGAATGTTCACCAATCTGCTGCCTCCCCCCCGCCAAACCTGACCTCAGTCCTCATCAGATTTAGAGACACAAAAGCTGGAGAGGTATTCACGTCAGCTGGAGATTAGTTACAATATTAGATTTCCACCCAAAATCAAGAGTTACAGATGAGGAAGTGGCGTGAATTCTAAACTCCTTGGGACACTTCTAGAAGTTCATGTCTGCAACTACATGAAGTCCTCTACTTACAATCATTTGTTTAGAGGAGCATGGTGGCTCATGAGATTAGAACATTGGACCTCCAATCAGCAGTCCCATGTTCGAGACCCGTGGCTTCTGTGGGGCGGGGTGAGCTCCCGTCACACATTCCAGCTTCCGCCAACACAATGGTTTGAAAGCGGGCGACCGCAAGTAGATAAACGGGTACCTCTTTTGTGGGCAACTTCACAGGGATGCGAAAGGAGCCCTGCCACCTGGGCATCTCCTGGGCAATGGTGATGTCACCAAAAAATCCTTTCACTATGGAAGCACTGAAGTGGTTCTGACATTTATTAGTATTAGTGTCCGTTCAATTTTGCAATGGTACTGAAAAAAGTGACTTATGACTGGTCCTCACGCTTAGGACCATTGCAGAATCTCCATGGTCAAAATTTGGGTGTTTTGGCAACCAGCATGTATTTACAATGGTCACAATGTCCTGGCGTCACATGATCAGTTCTTCCCAGCCAACTTCCAACAAGCAAAGTCAATGGGGGAAGCAGAATTCCCTTAATGACCGTATAATTCACTTAGCAACTGCAGCGGTTTGGTTAACAAGCATTGCAAAAAAAGTTTGTAAAAACCAGCGTGAATCACTTCACCTCCACCTTGTTTAGCAAGGGAAATTCTGGTCTTGGTTATGGTCATAAGTTGAGGATGACCTGTAAGTTTTAGGTAGTCTTGTTGGTTATTTCAAGGGAAGATCTTGATACAAAGTTAGCTGAATTTATGCTAAATCCAACTTTCTTCCATTCCAGAAGGAGGATTAATATTTGGGATCATTGGTCTGTGTGTGTGTGTGTGTGTGTGTGTGTGTGTGTGTGTGTGTGTGGTGTGTGTGTGTGTGTGTGTGTGTGTGTGTGTGTTGTGTGTGTGTGTGTGTGTTGTGTGTGTGTGTGTTGTGTGTGTGTGTGTGTGTGTGTGAGAGAGAGAGAGAGAGAGAGAAAGAGAGAGAGAGAGAGAAAGACTTTCTTTCTTTGGGGTTTTATATTTGTTTGAAATTATTTAGGACTAGCCTTAGTGCCAGCAAGAGTTTCAGTATAGCCAAATCAATTTCCTCCCATTCCCATTCCATGCCAACAAATCTTTCTGTTCCATTTACTGGACAATTTTAAATTCCAGTAGGGCAAACTTCTCTCAGCCAACAGAAAACTGTGGATGAAATTCAAATGTCATCTTAACCTCGTCTAGCTGGCATAAGCTTTTAGTAAGGCTTATATTATTATAGTTTGGTTGTTAACTTCTTCACTCCCTTCCAGTTTAATTATGTTTGCAATGCTACTTCTATTGCAGGTTTCCTTCTTACTAACAGCCTTTTTTAAAAGTCATCTTCTCATAAAGAATTTTTCAAAGCCCCTAAGG